TAATCTGAAGGCGCAAGGTCAGGGCTATATGGTGGATGTGACAACACATCCCAACCTAGCTCCAATAATTTTTGGCAAGTGACCAAAGATGTGTGGGGCTTTGCATTATCATGCTGGAAAACAACACCCTTACGATTTGCCAATTCTGGCCGCTTTTCTTGAACTGCATCGCTTAGTTTGGCGAGTTGTTGAACGTACACATTTGAATTAATCGTTTGGTTTCTTGGTAAAAGTTCAAAGTACAGAATTCCTTTATAATCCCACCAAACTGACAGCATAATCTTTTTTTGGTGAATCTCAGTTTTTGGTGTCATCTGGGCTGGTTCATCTTGCATCACCCACAATCTTTTCTGATTAACGTTGTTATAAACTATCCACTTTTCGTTGCCAGTAATCAGTCGTTTTAGAAATGGATCAATTTTGTTGCGTTTCAGAAGCCAATTGCAGATGCTAATGCATTGCATCAAATGAATTTCCTTAAGCTGATGAGGGACCCATAAATCCAGTTTCTTGACATAGCCAAACTGTTTTAATTTTTTTGAATGCATGTATGCGATACATTGAGCTTCTGTGCAATCTCACATGTTGTGCTATAACGATCTGAATTGATAATGGCCTTGATATGGGTCTCATCAACTTCAACTGGATGGCCAGATTGTCGAGCATTTTTCAGTGAAAAATCACCAGAATGAAATTTGGCAAACCAATTTTGACACTGCCTTTCTTTCAAGGCTTCATTCCCATATATGGCACATAATTTCTTGTGTGCTTGTGATGCGTTCTTGCCTTTTCGGAAATATCAATAATACAATAAAATATGTCTGAAATGTGTGTCTTGTTCTTCCATTTTTAAATTGGGATAAAAACGAAACTAGACAACTAATCAATACAATTTTTTTTACTAAATTAAAGGTGGAAGTCCAAACAACAAGAAAACAATATAGGTTAGGTGCTTTGAACATGATGACAAAGCAAAAACATGTGCTAAGGCCATGTATTGACAAAATCTGCAATCACTTAGTTGCCAACCCAATAATTTGGATCTGTCATATAGGTACTGGTATAAGCAGAAACTAAACAGTAACTAGAAACATAAAATACAACTTAAACTTTAATACAACTAACATTTTCAGTTTAATTAACTGTTCAAAAACCCGATAAAGGCTTATTAATCAAACCAAAAACATTAGTTGTATTAAACATTAGTTGTATTAGTTGCTGGAAAAGTACATAAGGTATTTTGTGTCTCTAGTTATTGTTATATAGGTTAATTATTCTCACATTATCTATCCATAGGTCCTCTGTGACAATAGGACTGTAACTACACTGTTATATGATATACATTGTACATCAAACCATCTGTATCACACAAATTGGGTGATCATGGCAACCAAAAACCAGACCACCTCTTTTAATCCATACTTGACAAAAGTTATGATCTAGAATTTATTGCGTAACTTGGTAAAATGTGATGAAAAACCATTATGCTAGACCATATCATTTTTCCAGCTGCTGATAGTATATCTTTCAGACATGCAGGAAGTGTATTAACAGAAAATCCACATACATTTGACCATTCAAAGATGATTAAAAAAACAAAGGCTGATGGTTTGATTCCTAATCACTATATATCAGATATTACGGATCCAGATGTGTGACTGCCTGCTTCTCTATATCAGTGCAGATTCTTTGCTGTCTAATAGCATATATCAGGAATAGCAAACTTTTTTGAGCCTGAGTGCCATTATATTAGCTTTAAAGATGTTTATGCCTGCCAAAGTTTTATACTTCAAATAATAATATTTAAAGAAAAAAACAAATACACTTTAAAAATAAATGTAAAAAAGCTAATTGAAAAAGACAGATGATAAATTGAAATTGTATGACATATTACAGGTCAGATGTTCTCCTTAAGTGCCAGTTTTGGATTGCATGCTATAGATTCACCATCCCTGGTATCTATATATATAACCCATTCAACGGGTATCCGTCTGTCCCGTAACCTTTTGATAACGGACACTAGAGGCACCCCTATCGTGTGTCATATTTCAAACATTCAAATTAACAATTTTAATTCTTATTTAAATTAACAATATAAATTTTTATTATTTATTTGGCCAATAAATTATTATTTGGTCAATATAACAATATAAATAATTCAGTATATTTGTAATAGGAATTTATTATTTCAGGGGCTTATATCTCTCGAAGGGTC